AAGTTGGTGGTTCAGGCTTGTAAACCAAGCTACTGAGGAGGCTGAGATCTGAGGATCATAGTTCCAAGCCAGCTCTGGCAAAAAAAAAAAAAAAAAGTCGATAAGGCTCTTCAAATTTAGCTGGAAGAAGAGGTAAAGAGCTTTGAGCGAAAATGCTAAGGGACAATGCCTGGCCCTATGTTCAGCCTCAATACCGGCATACACACATAAAATAACTAAGTAAAATGAAATGAATACAAATGACACTGGGTAAATATGAACTTACTGTAGTTTGCTACATGTTGTATGAATTTACTGTACATAATACTATATGAAAAGTATGTCACCAAAAAATCCCTAAAGTATCAAGGGGAGGAGAAAAAAAAAAGGCCAGCCCTCTAGAGGGATTGTTATTGAGAACTTCCACTCTGCCACAACCTCTCTCTGATGTAGCCAGAGGGAACACACAAATTAACACACTGAAAACCAAGGAACTCCAGTTACAGATTGCTCTTCTTTGTACTTAGTATCTCATGACCCTATCCCCTACAGACAGCACAGGAAGCAACCAGGCATAGAACAGAATCCAGAGCCCCGTTTTCAGATCTGCCTGAGCACTACCTACACCTACCAGGAGGAGTGGGGGATGAGACTTTCAACACTGTACAGAATAATCCAACAGTTTGCTTTATATTCAGGATCTCTTTCCCTTAAGCTAATGAGAGAGAAGATCTGTAGTAAACACACGTGGTTGTTTCTCTGAACCTGGATTCCTAGCAGAACCAAACAAAATGGTACAAAGGGAAAACATACTTCTAGGCAATTATGAGTATCTTATTTTATTATTTAATAACTAAAAACCTATTAGGAAAAGGAAATGTACTCTGATCATAGAAATCAGACCTCTGGTTTCCAATGAATTATCTAGCTCTACCTAAAGAAACTAGAGAAAAGAAGAGCAATTTAAATGCAATGTAAAAAAAGATGGAAATATTAAAATGAGTAGATATTGTAATCAAAGAGAATCAGAAAAGAATATCAAAAGATTATCAACAAAAATTATTTCAAAAAAACCCCAAAACACCGCAATGTTATAAAATCATTAGCTAGACTAATCAAGAAATAAAAGACGCAAATTACCAAAATTAAGAATAAATCTGGGAAAGTGGCTCACACCTTTAATCCCAAATACTGGGAGGTAGAGGCCAATTTGGCCAAAAAGTTAATGAGACCTCCATCTCAATCAGTAAGATGGGCCTGGTAGTATGTGCCTATCATCCCAGCTATGTAGTAGGAAACTTATTTAGGAGGAACATGGTCCAGGCCAACTCCAGAAACAAAAACAACCCCTGACCCTATTCAAAAACTAAAGTAGGACACAGTAGCTTAAACGTGTAATCCTAGCTACTAAAGCAAAGGAGAGAGGCTATTGGTTTGGGACCAGCTGGGGCACCAAGAGTTTGGAAGACTCCAGTCTCCACTGCAATGACTGGGCACAGTGGCATCTGCCAGTCATGCCAGTGACAAAAGGGAAGTACTAACAAAAGAATCAACCTCTAGTCTGGCCCAAGCACAAGGTGAAGCTCTATCTTCAAGTGATTCACTTAAAGGAAAAACTAGCATCAACTGATTTGAGTTTCACCAAAAGCCATAGAGGAAGGCATACCTCCTCATCTCCTTATTTTAATAGCTTTCCCTGGTGCCAAAAGATAAAAAACAGTACAGAAAAAAAGGTCAGGCCCATTTATATCTAACTTTTTTTTTTGCGGGGGGGGGGGGGGGGCGGCGGCGGGGGTGTGTGTGTCTGGTCTTGGGGCCTGAACTCTGGGCCTGGGCGCTGTCCCTCAGCTCTTCAGCTCAAGGCTAGCGCTCTACCACTTGAGCCACAGCGCCACTTCCGGCTTTTTTTCTTTTTGCTTATGTGGTGCTGAGGAATCGAACCCAGGGCCTCATGCATGCAAGGCAAGCGCTCTACCACTGAGCCACCTTCCCAGCCCTATCTCACTAACATTGAAACAAACATGTTCACACAGCATTGACAAATCAATCCAACAACAATGTATAAAACAGGTAATACATCACAAATACAATTTGTCTTACAAATGCAAAGCTGTACAAGTTACCAAGTCTACAAAAAAGAAAAGCTATATGCTTTCACCCAATATTAGGAGTAAGGCAAATGTGTCTGCTCATCATTGAAGGTCTCCAACTACAAGGAGGAAAGAGGGAAAAACAGCGCACAGATTGGGAAGGAAGAAATAAACTGCCTCTGTCACAGATCACATGACTGCCAAGACAGGAAAATAACAAATAACTCCTAGAATAATTAGTAAGCGTAAAGAAGTTGGCTGCAAAGCCATTAAAAATTGTATTTCTACATGTTTATAGTAAAAATACCATAATTTTATAGCATAAAAAAAGATACTTAACTATAAGCCTAACAAAATGTGTGCAGGATCTGTATACCTGAAACTACAAAGCAGTGATGAAAATAATCAAGACTGAGAAAAATATACCACATTCATAGCTTTAAAACTGGCTATAACTCTTGTTGACTGTGTAAATGCACCAGGTGCTAGTGACTCACACCTGTAATCCTAGCTACTCAGGAGGCTGAGATCTAAGGATGGCAGCTCTAAGCCAGTCCAGGCAGAAAGTCTGGAGACTCTTGCCTCCAATTAAGCATTAAAGGCCAGAAGTGGAACTGTGGTTCATATGGTAGAGTGCTAGCCTTCCAACAAAAAAAAATGCCCAGGCTGAGTTGAAGCTCCAGGACGAGCATCATTCTCCCATACCCCAAAAATGCACACACACAACATACCTATACACACAAACATTCGAAGGCCAGGGAGTTACAATAGCTAAAACAATTATTAAAAAAATTAAAAATATGCAGGATTCACCTTATCGTATTGCTCTACTTAATATAAAGCAACAGCAAGGATTAGGTATAGCTAAGTAAGACAGTGCCTGCCTAACATTTAAGATTCTTGGTTTCGGCTGGGAAGGTGGCTCAGTGGTAGAGCACTTGCCTTGCATGCATGAGGCCCTGGGTTCGATTCCCCAGCACCACATAAGCAAAAAGAAAAAAAGCCAGAAGTGGCGCTGTGGCAAGTGGTAGAGTGCTAGCCTTGAGCTGAAGAGCTGAGGGACAGTGCCCAGGCCCAGAGTTCAGGCCCCACGACCGGACCCAAAAAAAAAAAAAAAAAAAAGATGCTTGGTTTGATCTATAGGACCACAAACATTTTTAGAAGCTTGAATAGGTAGACTCTGGTGAGTCCAGACAGAGATACATACAATTTGTTTATGATAAAGGTAGAAGCAGTTAAAGGAAGAAAGGATAAGCTTTTCAACAAAGTGGGAGTGGGAGTTCGGCCAGACATAAAGTGAGATCCTAGCTCAAAAATACCAATGGAAAAAGGCGCAGGCATGGCTCAAGTGGTAGAGTGCCTGCCTGACAAGGATGAGGCCCTAAATCCAATCCTTAGTAGCCAAAACAAACAGATTGTACAAACAAACCTAAATGTACCACTGAGGGAGCTACTGATCCAACCATTACAAGCATCATCATGGAGAAATCTCAAACTCTTAGTCTAAACACAGGAAGCCAGTCTCAACTGGCTACATATTGTTTGAATCCATTTTTATGACACCCTGGAAAAGGCCAAAGTATAAGAATAGACAACAGATAAGAGGTTAAGTATGAGGTTAAGTATGGGAGCTGGGAGGACTACAAATGGGTAAAAAGGGAAAGCTTTAAGTGATGGAGTTGTTCTATAAAATTGCTGCATTGGTTATGTGACTGCTTGTCCAAGCTCAAAACCAGGTAAATATGAATTTATTGTAATTTAAAATACACTAGATGAATTTACTGTATACAAATATGTAAATTATACCATCAAGCCCCCAAAGCATTACAAACACTAAATGTAACACAATAAAATGATATTAAATCATTATATCTCACAATTGTAAGTCATATGGTATTCTTTATACTTAATTACACGCATCTTATTTAAATATGCTGCCTCACAGCACGTTTTAAACCATGGAGACCATATTTCAGCTTTATAAATTATTCAATGATTTTTTCACCACTTGGTGACCCATAAGTCAACTAACTATACATGACCTGAAATAATTATTTTTTAATAATTAATTTAGCCCACTTATCTATTATGTGAAGATTGTTTAACTCATAATCAGGGTCAGAATCTAGGAAGATTATTTCCTTCTCCAAGTTCCTAATAACAGTAATAGCTGGTAAAGCTGTAAAGCATATGATTTACATTTAAGTATCCTCTCGTTTCTATACATTCTCCAAGAGGCAGAGAATGAGCTGGCCTCAAGAGGAGGAACGGAGAGAATGTGGGGAGGCACATGATGAATTGGTAAAAGGATGAATTAGGGCTTGAAATCAGTGCATGATGTTTTCACTTTAAACATGTACAAAACAGCTTTTACAAGGCAGTTGAATCACTTTCCCATTTCTAAAGCAATAGAAAAGCAGACAAACTAGGATTCAAATCCATGATGGTCTCACTTCAGAGCTCTTATTTATCTCCTTCTACCCATCTGCTAATGTACAGGCGAGAGCTTGGGTTTACATTTTTCAAATGACCAAGTATCTTTTAAGACTACATTCTCTATCCAACATGGTTCAATTTTAAATCTGAAGCCTATAAAATATGAATGTGCAATAACAGAAGGCTTAAAGCAGTTTATAATTTAATGTACAGCCATTTATCTGATCATTCGAAACTTTAAGAATAAATTATTTTCTTAAGTCAGGGATTAAAAACAGCAAATATATATAACCACCAAAAGGATATATGAAAAAGTAATTATGCTCCCTTTTGACCTTAATAAAGAATTTATTGCAAATCTAATTTTAAACAAAAGACTATAGAAAAATTTTCCCCTTTCTTTTAGCTTCCTGACATCTGGCTTTCCTCTATTGTTTCTGAAAGCTGCTAGTATCCTGAGTTATAACACAGATTATTTACTGCAACAGAACTCACCCTGTGAAGTGTCACTGTGTGTTGTTCCCATATAGCTGTTTCCTCCATTGCTGTGCTCTGATAAAGAAAGAAAAAAACAAGTCATTTACCTTGTAAGAAAATGTTTACTAATAAAGTTAAAAAAAATCCAGCAAATAATTCAGCACAATAAAATACCAAAATCCACACTACTAATATTAAAGACACTCTGAGAGGACCTGTTACTGAAGGCTTTTTGTTTGCTTTTAAGAGTCAGGAAACTGCACACAGGAACTTCCTTTGTTTTTAACTTAATCTGGACAGATGCTACTCTACATTCATTTTTTCCTAGCTGAGATCAGAGTTTGAGCCAATCTGTCAACTTTATACTTAACATCAGATAGAAAATAATAAAACTTTGAGCAGTCTGGATGTTTAAAAGCAAAGTTATTTAACTTTGCTTTGCATAACAAAGCAAATATAGCTCTGAACTCAGTAATTATAAATATATATGTTGCAGGACAAGAGATGAAAACATCTAAGAGCTTTGGTCAATAATTGCTTTAATGTCACAATGAAATACTACTGCCCCACCTCATTACAGTTTCACTACAGAACTATTTTCTCACCACCATTTATAACTATAAAGGGGGTAAATAGCTTTTCTACATCACACACACACACACACACACACACACACACACACACACACACACACCAAGAAAAAAAGGAATTAAAAAAATGAGTCACAGGGGGCTGGGAAGGTGGCTCAGTGATAGAGTGCTTGCCTTGCATGCATGACACCCTGGGTTTGATTCCTCAGCACTACATAAGCAAAAAGAAAAAAGCTGAAAGTGGTGCTGTGGCTCAAGTGGTAGAGCGCTAGCCTTGAGCTGAAGAGCTGAGGGTCAATGCCCAGGCCCAGAGTTCAGGCCCCATGACCGGACCCCCCCCCCAAAAAAAGTCACAGTTTCCAATTTTCCTAAGACACTCCATGAAATAGAGCAATATAAGCACCAATAAAAATCCTTCCAAATCAGTTCACAGTGTCATCTCCTGAGAAAAATAAATTATCATCCAAAGGATGAACATGATAAAATTCCTAATAAACACCTTTTAAATTGGGTTAAATGTTCTTGGAGGTTTTTAAGTAATTCACTTTTTCTTTATGTCCCATTTTATGAAATCAGGGCTCCTAAAATGTATATATTTGTACGTAAGTCTTTTCTAAAAAGATTTTCCAGAGTAATGAAAAGATAGTGAGAGGAGAGAGTGCTGAGCACCGTATTCTGGGAAACCCCTCCTGGCCTGTGTTACAAATGCTGCTTCACAGTAACTAGGATCTGTTGTCTGTTATCACGCTGTCAAGCAGCATCAGGAGAATATGCCCATCAAGGTGCTGTGGGCCCATTTCTCCTTTCCCACAGCAACTTTAACTGAAGATTAATGCCACTTTAGAAAATGAACCCCTATAAAGAAAGCCTGCTTCCCTAAATTCAAAGGAACTAGATTAACTTTCCTGCTAGATGAATAAGAGGAGAAAGGATCTCTATTCACTCCCAAAGATAAGAACTGCCAACCTTACCCAGCACTTTGTTTCAATCTTCCAATCAAGTGCGGCAAAACCTCTCTTTAATGAGACCTCAGCAGGAAAGAAAGCTGTTTTGTTTTTTAGCAAAAACTGACCAAGACTCAGTGCATTTAAAAAGTCCTCTGTCAATGTGAAGCCACGATGAAGAACTCTGCTAAACATCAATAGTTCCCCTAAATACACATGATAAAAATACTGCAGTAATCGGACAGTAATTGGACTGGGAAGGTGGCTCAGTGGTAGAGTGCTTGCCTTGCATGCATGAGGCCCTGGGTTCAATTCCTCAGCAACACATAAGCAGAAAAAGCCAGAAGTGGCATTATGGCTCCAGTGGTAGAGGGTTAGCCTTGGGCTGAAGAGCTGAGGGACAGCGCCCAGGCCCCACGACTGACCAAAAAACAAAACAAAAAAACCAAAACTGCAGTAACTACCAGCCTCCCCCCATCCCCAGAGCCTTTAGGAAGGAGAACTGGCAGTGGAGCTCTAGATGGGTCTTTTCTCAACTACTCTGTTAACACAGAATATGGCTTCGCTGTCTCTACAACCCTTTTTATCTGTCCCAAATGGGCATGAGCTGAGAGCAGCTTTCCCTGCTAACACACTCTTCAGCGAGGAGCACTCTACCATCCCTCCATATGGTTCATCCCAGGGTACGTAGAAATTCTCAACTGTTGAAATAGAATGGCTGGGAGTACGGGCGCTGGTGGCTCACGCCTGTAATCCTAGCTACTCAGGAGGCTGAGATCTGAGGATCGCGGTTCAAAGCCAGCCCGGGCAGGAAAGACCGTGAGACTCCTATCTCCAATAAACCACCAGAAAACCGGAAGTGGCGCTGTAGCTCAAGTGGTAGAGCGCTCGCCTTGAGCTGAAGAGCTGAGGGACAGCGCCCAGGCCCAGAGTTCAAGCCCCGACCGACAAAAAAAAAAAAAAGAATGGCTGGGAGTATAACAAATTTAACACTGGTCACCTTTGAAAAGGAGAGACTGTCAGGGGCATCAGGTGTTTTACCTTTTACTTTCCTTTCTCCACTGATAATAAAAATTGCATTTACATCTATTCCTACTTGAAACTCAAATATTTTTTAATTTGGCTTTTAGGAAAATCAAATGTGTTTAAGAAGATTACTTTAAGACACTGTTAATTATGGGAAATGTTTATCTGTCATTAAGAGAAAAATACATTAAGGTCTTCATGAATCATTTCCATGCTGAGTGCCATAACAGACAGTTAAATGACTTTGGACTAGAGAAAAAAAATTTAAATACCAAACATAATTGTTATCAATGTTTCTCCTCAGAACTAGTAAGATTTTTCTTTGGAGTGATCACAAAAGTATACATCTCAACAAACTGGATGGTTTCCCCAAAAGGGAGAGGATATAGCTTATTTCTCTGCTAAAATCAGAGTGCTTATCTGAAAGGAGACCTATGTACCAAGAAGAAATAAGAGCACAAACATCACAGGATAGGGTCCTGACCAGCACACTAAGCCAATTTAGTATACAAAGAGTTATTATGCCCTATTACTCTTCATCACCTTAAAAAAAATAGAAAAATGTATTCCTAGTTTAAAACAGGGAGCATGTCATCATCTTTTCACTTTCTAGTCTTCCATCTGCTTCGTGGCAAAGCCGTGAAATTCTATCCCTGGTTGTCTAGATAACCAGGCAATCCTTAGGAAGAGCTCTGAATGAACTGAAACTTTCGATGGACAAACTTAAGGACATGTGACAATGCAAACACAGTAAAATGATAACAGTGGAGTTGGGGGGAGGGAGTGCCAGGGATCCATTTTCTTTTCTTTTAAAATATAACCTTAGCTATTTATTTATTTATTTATTTATTTATTTATTTATTTATTTATTTATTTATTTATTTATGTCATGAGGCTTGAACTCTGGGCCTGGACGCTGTCCCTCAGCTCTTCAGCTCAAGGGGAGTGCCCTACCACTTGAACTACAGCACCACTTCCGACTTTTTCTGCTTATGTGGTGCTGAGAAATCGAACCCAGGGCCTTGTGCATGCAAGGCAAGCAAGCATTCTACCACTGAGCCACCTTCCCAGCCCCCAGGGATCCATTTTCTAATTCCTTCAACCTTGCTACTGGAAAATGAACATCATAAAATACTGAGTGGGAGAAGTGGGGAAAAGGAGCTCCTTTTAGTAAATCACTCAAGAAACTGAAGTTAGAATTGATTATAAGCATAGTCAGTACCAACAAATGTACTCAGCACTATTTTCATGAGCAGGACGTAAAGAAGTAATGATTACCAATGACTGAGAATCTTGTTACTTGATAATAGGGAGGGGGTTTTCTCTGGAAGAATACCTAAGAAGTAGGAGCCTCTGAAAAAAAGTAGAAACCAGGATTCAGGGCCTTACTTTTTCACTGTGAGCCCTTTAGCACTGTTTTATAATGCTCACCCAATTACTTACATAAATGAATAAATTTCAAAGCTCAGTTTGGTTACTGTAAGCTTGCTTATCATTTGTCTTATTTAAAAAATGCAAGTGGGAGCAGGCATCACTGGCTCACACCTGTAATCTTAGCCCTTCAGGAAGCTCAGATCTGAGGATCATGGTTGAAAGCCAGTCTGGAAGGCAGGAAACTCCGTGAGCCTCTTATCTCCAACAAACCACTGAGAGAAAGTCAGAAGTGGTGCTGTGGCTTAAGTGGTAAAGCACTAGCTTTGAACACAGAGAGGCTCAGGAACAGAGCCCAGGCCCTGAGTAAAAGCTCTACGATCAAGAAAAAAAACAAACCGCAAAATGAATAACTGCATTATTTGTACAGGGACCTTCCAATAATCACTGGTCTCATTCCAAAAGCAGTTCATTTGTAGGAAACTAAGGAAAGTGTGTTGATATCCTAAGTATAACTCTGGTTCTATTATTCCTCAGTAATTAACTATAAGAAATACTTTAAAAAAAAAAAAGGAAATGACTAGCACAGATATAATGGGATCAAATAGGTCACAAAAGTAGAAATGTAACCTTAGCTCTCTTCACCTATAAACTAAGGGGTTCAACTACAGTACAAAACAGAAATATGACCTTACTTTTCCTTATCTATAAAATTGAAACTGGATTCGATTATCTCAAGTAAAAAGGTCTTCACAGCTCCAAAAATCTATTGGACTATAATTCCAAAGAGCAGACTACAAATTCAGTAATTAGTGTAGTACTCAGGCATTAAAAGTGATTGCAACTCGTAGTTGCTGGATTCATTCTGCATACATTTCTAAGTCTGCATCAACTGACTAGAATCACAATTTCTGAAGAAGCAAAAAGCTGTATTTCAGAATCTGCCAAGAGTTTGTTTGGTTTCTTTGTTCTAAGCTCCAGCTGGCAAAGACACCACTCAGATCACCAACTCTGAAAGGCTTTCTGCCAAAACTCTAGCTCCCTATTCTAGTCAGTTTCACCATTCCTATAAGGCTGACTACAAATCAAATGGGTTAAGACAGGAGGGCAAGAGAACTGACAAGACTGCTTGCTTTGATA